AATCATGTTTGCAAGGAATTTAAAAATACAACACTACTATTGTATAGTAGAGTTGTAAATAATATTTACGGTAGACATATATAATTTTCCACATAATCAATATTTTTATTGTTATATTATATCAACTACAATTAATTTTATTTTATTTCAATCATATTGTCAAATTCATATGTATTTTATTAATTATATATCTTATTTTTGTCAGGGACTTTTTTTATTTTTTATATTTTGTAAAAAAAAAAAAAAATATTCAATCTACATCTTAAAAAGGTCACGTGAGTAGCTCAGGAGTTATGTCATATTTCGAATTGGACCGCAAACAAGGGTAAATAAAATGGAAAAATGCTACGGTCTTATTATGAAATTATTCTGTTAAAATTTGTAACTGTTAGATCAACTATCTTTAACGATTACATGATAATCTAATGGTTACAATTTCAACAGAATCGTTTCGTAATGAAGCCGTAACATCTCCGAGACGCGTGTTATTTTCTTATTCACTGCAATCAATAAATAGCAGTAACAAAAAGTAAATAAATCAAATAAAAGCACAAGAAAATAAATTTATTTGTCCTATATACGGAAAAGACAAACCACCGCACAAACTCTCTTCAGCTCACACGAAAAAAAAACCCAAAAACAGAGAGACAGCTGTCCACTCAAACGATCCGATTTGCTATGAACTCAACAGTTGACTTTATAATGGAATCAATTTTTTATTTTTTTATATACAACAAAGAAACCTACCAAATTAATTAAATTATATAACTGCTATTTAAGTAATAAGAGAATATGATAAGTTTAGTATATAGAAGGTTGACTCCACTGTAGAGTCAATTGTTAATTTCATAGCAAAACCGCTCAACTGTTCGTTTCATAGCAAAATCGCGGCAAAAATTCAAAATTGGTCCTATAATTTGACCAATGTCTAAAAAATCACTCTTATATTGATCACTTTTTAGATCCTATAATTTGTCGATGTCATCAATTTTAGTCTTTTTTTATCCGTACCCTGAATTAAAAAGTGACGTGACATGAAAAAATGACCAAATTTGATAAAATTGACAAATTATAAGACTAAAATTGGCGTGGCACATAGATCACAATCACACTATGTAACCTTAAAAAACTGACACGTCATGCCACGTCAGTTTTTAATCCAAGGTCCGGATAAAAATAACTAAAATTGATGAAATTAACAAATGATAGGACCTAAATTAAAAGTGGTCAATATAAAAGTGGTTTTTTAGACAGTGATCAAGTTATAGGACAAATTTTAAAATTTTGCCGCAAAATCGCTCAAACGATACACACAACTAAAATGCAATGGCATGAACCCGAAATAAGCGCACTGAAATAAAATAATTTCGGAGTAAAATAATTAATTAATTAATTAATTGATTTAAAAACAGTAAATCAGGGAAAAAAAAAAAAAAAAA